ACTTTCCACACTCAACCAACGACTACAACACTAGGGCTCTTCACAATTCGGATAAAACCGAATTATCCAATTGGACAATTTGGATTGGACTATTTGGTTCGGATATTCGGATTTTTGGATTGGTTTTCAACAAAACCGAATTATTATTTTGGATTTTGGATTGGTTTTGGTTTATAAAATAAGAACCGGATAGTCCAAAAAAACCGAATAACCGTTTATAATTTATCTATTTATAATATATCTATAGTTATTTATTAATTTTGTAATTTATTTTTTCAAATAGGTTCAAAACATTTCACCCGATAAATAAACATTAATATGCATTTTCTCTCAAAAGTTTTTTATCTATAAAATATTTAACTATAATATATCTTCTTAGTAGTTGTTTATAAATTTCAAATGACAAATAAATAATTTGTTTTTGCTTCTTATGTAAAGTTAGGTAATATTATAATTATATATCGTTTTAAAATATTTCGGTTTTGAAAACCGAATTATAAAAACCGATCCAACCGAATTGTAATTGGATCGGATCGGATTTGAATTTAGTTTGGACTATTCGGATCCATGTTTTGAAAACCGAAATCAATTTGGATTCACTTGATTGGATCGGATCAAACCGATCCATCCAAACGAACACCTCTACTACACACGCACATAAACATGTATCCACGGATATTCTCATCATTTTGACTCTATTAGAGGAAAAATATTTTAAAATTTAAAAGATTTATATGCGTCAATTACTCAATTTCGACCTATTGACTTGTATATTAATTTGGTGACTTTGTTTTCGGCTTTTTGCCTCTAAGACGTATAAAAAGATAACATATCATATCAAACGGCTCAAAACTCATCCAAAATATATTTCTAATGAATCCAACTTCTTAAATAATTTTATTTGAATAAATAAACTATTATCATATCATATTGGAGGCATTAATTATATGAACACATTGCGCTAAAAAACTACTATTCCGGGACGAATCTATATTCTATATCGACTTATAATCAAAACCCTTTGACCAACTTGGCCAAATTCCATAAAAGATTAAAAAATTTTGGTTTTTATATTTAAGCACTAAGAGTTATAAACTTTTTTTTTTTTTGGAAAACCACTACATTAACTTTTAAATTTTTTAAAAATCACTATGGTTAGAAATTATTCAGTTTAACAACTTAAAGAAATAATTTCTTATATAATTTATAACCAAATAAACTTTAAACTTTTTTAGGGAAAAGTAAATTAATTGTAACAATTAAACAAAAAATTGTATGAATTATAAGGAACCACTGATTATAAATTCATGATCGTAATAGCACAAATGGTGTTTTTTTTTTCTTTAAAAAAAAAAAATAGGCTAGATGCATAATTTAATCTGACGTTGCTATGGTGCCACGTGTCCTAAAACAACCAAACCTCAAAAGAAAAAATAAAAAAGAAAACAAATTTATCTCCAAAACCAAAATTCCCCCACCACATAAAACATCACCTTCGTCCCCCAAAACCATCTCAACTAAAAGAAAGAAAAAAATCATAACTTTCCTTCGACTTAATCCGTTTTGCAGAGTGAGTTCGAGTTTATCTCCTGGAAATTCTCCAAATTTCCAGGACATAAAATAAAAAATAAAAATAAATGATCAGACTAAGTGTCTACTGCTCTTTACTCTCACCTCCAAGTCAAAAAGTCAAAGACCACCAGAGAATCTCTCCGGCGTCGTTTTGGCAACAGAAATGGAACCGGAGTTCGAGTTCGAGTTCGAGTCCGAGTTCATCGACTCAGAGGAGTATTACGACTATTGCTATGGCTTTAAAAAAAGACGAAATGGATGGAAGATTTAGCAACTTACCGGGTCAAAGCTGGGAACCCGGGTTGGAAATGGAAGTCCCTTTTGAACAAAGGCCGGTATGTATTTTTATGTTTTATGTTTTCATTTTCACATGAAAAAGGCAAAAATAAATTAATAATAACCTACTTTTATTTATGTATTTATTTATTTATTTATTTATAGGTGAATGAATACTCGTCTTTGAAAGAAGGACCATTATATTCATGGGGAGAATTGAGTCCACGATCTTTTTTCATACGCGTTGGAGGTCTTTGGTTGGTTACTTTTACTGTTCTTGGACTCCCCGTTTCTGCTGCAAGCTTTAATCCTTCAAATGTAAGATATAATTTTTTTTCTTCTTCTTTATAAATATATCGTAAATGGATAACTTTTTTATTTTTTCCTAACTCCTTTATATGATACTATTTTTTGAAATAATGGTGTTTGTGTTTATAACCCTAAAAAGGTAATCAATGCAAAATGAAAAAAAGATTGGAATAATTTGATCTACACACTACAAGGTGCGAAGATTTAGAGCACTTTTAATGTAAAATTAAATTAATAATACAATTATAAATTAATAACCAACTATTGGTTGTTCATATTTGGGCACTCTGAACTTTATTGTGCATCAAGTTCCCTAAACTCTTTTTCTTGTATTGCTTAGCCGATCATAATGTTGTATTGATATTGGATAACAATTTTAAAAAATTTAGTGACGATAAATGTAAAAACAAATTCCCGAGGGACCAAATGTGGACAATTTTTACTCGATAACATTAACAACATTTTGTTTCGTTTCTATGCAGGATCCTTTACGATTTTTATTAGCGGCAGGAACTGGAACGCTTTTTCTTGTATCATTAGTTGTTCTCAGGATTTATTTGGTATATATAATATATCCCATTTTTAAAATAGATCTAAAACTACACCAAATTATATAAGTTTCATGGTAAATTTATAAATAAATAAAATTTATATATATTTAGGGATGGAGTTATGTTGGTGACAGACTGTTATCAGCTGTGATCCCATACGAAGAGAGTGGTTGGTATGATGGACAAATGTGGGTAAAGCCTCCCGAGGTAAGGGCAAAATCGTCATTTTACATTTTACAAATGTTGATCTTGGAATAAATTTGTAATTTGCTTCTTTTCTTTGCAGATTCTGGCGCGTGATAGGTTATTGGGGTCGTATAAGGTAACCAAAAGTTTTAAGAAAAAAATATATTTGTGAGAAAAAATATATATATATATATATATATATATATATATAATATATATATATATTTTAATTCTAATTCATTAATTAAATATTTGTGAATATTTGTTTTTATAAATGTAGGTGAAACCAGTGATAAAATTGTTGAAACAAACCCTAGTTGGAACAGGGGTGTTACTTGTGACAGCTGTTTCATTGATTATTTTTGCTACACCAGTTGAAGATTTCTTCCAAAAAACATTTGCAAATGAAAATTATGTTGCAGCTACAAAGATCAATGCGAATATGAGGTAGGTTAAAACAAGGATTATATATATAAGAAATATCAATATACATAGCATTTTGTCAAAATTATAATTTTGTAGATTTTTCAAAGTAAAATGTCCTAATAAGAAAAAAAAAAAAAAGGATTTGTGTATTTTGCAATGCTATGATTTAGTAGATTTTGTAAAGTACAATAACTTACTAAGAAAACAAAATGGAAGTAAGTAAGATGCTATTATAATTATACCCAAATAAATGAAAGTATTATAGGTAAAAAATTAAAATACATTACCCAAAATATATATATAAAGTAATAAAGTGATATTTTTTAATATTACAGCAAAGAGGAGCTTTTAAGATTGCCATTGGAAGTGAAGGCAGATGATAAACTGGCAGCTGCTGCTGCTGAGGCCGCTGATGGAAGGCCAGTGTACTGCAGGGACAGGTACTACCGTGCACTAGCGGGCGGACAATACTGCAAGTGGGAGGATCTGCTCAACTGATTAAAACAAGAATATATATATATATATATATATATATATATATATATATTCATGTTATATATATAGTATATATAGTATATACACCTTGTTTGATTTTTATGTTGAATTATATGAAAAAATATATATATACGAAAAGTAGATTGTCATTTTGAGATGTTAGTTGGAGAGACCTGATAGACTTCGAACTGCAAAGGTATATAAGTTGTCAAGAAATGAAGAAATATAAATTTTGATTTTGAATAATCAAATGGGTTATTACTTTTGAAATTCAAAGTAGTTGTTTCTCAAGTTTTTGGGAAAAAGATTTATGAATTGTGTAAAATTAAGAAAGAAAATGTCACAGCTACAAAGATCAATGTGAATATGAGGTACATTAAAACATGGGTTAAATGCAAGAAATAGCAATGTATTTTCATTTATATATTGTGTTTTTTCCGGATTAAACCTCAACATTTTTTTCACTAAAAAAGACCTAGAATCTTTTCAATTTTTCCAAAAAACCACTAAAACTTTTTATTTATTTATTTTTTTCTGAAAAAAATCTCTCATAAAAGACCTTATATTTTATGTTTTTTCCGGATTAAACATCGTCTTTATTTTTTTTCCTAAAAAGGACCTTGTATTTTCTTTTTTCTTTTTTCCAAAAAAACCCTCTAACTTTGACCTTTTTCAGAAAAAAAAACCTCAACTTTTGTAGTTTTTCTCGCAAAAACCCTCACATTTTATAAGTTTTTTTGGAAAAAATCGACTAAAATGAAAAAATGTAAGGTATTTTTCAGGAAAAAAATAAAGATGATGTTTAATTTGGAAAAAAAACACAAAATACGTCTTTTATAAGATTATGCTAAAAGGGTCAAATCGGAAAAAAAATGAAAAAATGCAAGATCGTTATCAGGAAAAAAAAGTTGAGGTTTAATTTGGAAAAACAAAAACACAATATATAAAGTCTTTTATGATCATTTGTATTTAAAAAAATTATACCAATTATAGCAATGTTATACATTTACAAAGCAATTCCCACTGTTATAATTAATTACATTTTCCAAATTACAATGTCCAAAAAAGAAAAAAAAAATGGAAGTACAATGATATTATTGAGTAGATTTTTTAAAGTACATTTTTTAAAATACAACGCCTAATAAGAAAAATAAACTTAATGTACATTGCTTATATCATTAAATGCACAAACTGGAATCACCATCTTCTTTACCTTACAAGATTTTTGTTAGACATAATTTATAAATGCAAACTACTTTAAATTAAAAAAGAAAAACCATACAACCTGATTTTCTTGAGATTTTTCCTACACAAGTCTTTTCCACCAATTATATATTTCATACATTTTTCCTTGAAATATATCTCTAATCGTTTGTTTTTGTCTCTTGGATTCTTCTATATCTAAAGTTCTGTATGCAAGAGCTAGCAAATAAATGGCCGGATGAACCCTCCTACATGTCAAAATAATTGTTTATCAAGTTTTTACAGAAAAAGATTATACACCCATATTCATTTTTTTATAAAAGTTAAAAGAAACTGTGAAAAAGATTATTTTTAGAGCTTTTTTAAATTGTCATGTTTGACAAACCCAAAAGTAGCTGATAAGCTAGCTTTTTAAACAGCTACTTAGAGTAGTTTTTCAGAAGCTTTTTAATATTTTCCCGAATATACCCTTAATTAATTATAAAAAAACATATCCTTCTAAATGTCCTTTTATGTCATTTTGTATTTTTCAGCTAGTTTTACCAAACATCATTTTTTATCAGCTAGCTTATAAGTTAGCAGCTAGCTTTTCGGCTAACAGTTTTTCAGCTACCAACCAGCTTTTCAGCTAACAACCAGCTTTTCAGCTAACAGCCAGCTTTTCAGCTATCAGCTAGCTTTTTTCAGCTAATTTGCCAAACATAGCCTAAATGATCTAGGATTAAGAATACCTTTCAGAAGGTTGACTTAAGTCAACACCATCCCAATACCTCTGAGATGAAACATTTTTTCCGTTTCTACCCCTTCCATATGTCTCAACATACCAACCACCAATATCATGCAACCCTGAACGAGGCTCAAATAGCCAATATTTACTTGGAGGTAATCGAGCTCTTGTGCATCTACACTCACAAACAGAAGCTTTTTCTCCCAATTGAAACCAATGCATATGTTTCACCATTAATGTCCTATGCTTCATAACCACATGACTCTTTACACCACAATTATTATGAAAATAACAACACCCTTCTTCATCACTACTCCCTAATCCAATAATTGTTCCCAAAAACATCTTATCTTCCTCATCATCTTCATGTAGATTGAGATAAACATGTATATGATCTTCATAATCTTCATTTGATATGTCAATGGTGGAAGTAGAACTCTTTGGTGGGATTCGATTTGCTACTGCAATAATCTTTCCTGATACATGCAACTCAAGATCTTTGTATGCATCACATTGTGACCTAATTTGAGTTCCCAAATCATGAGTTTTAAATCCCATTTCCAAATTCTCACTTTTGGGTAATGGAAGTTGTTCATTGCAGGATGTTGATAATTCAGGCACCCTTTTGGCTATGCATACTTTCCCAAAAAGGTCACGTCCTGAAACTAAATGAAGGATTTCAGAAGTTTCAGGGAAAGATCTTTCATCAGCTTCAAAACAATCAGGGAGGAAATCCATTGAATGGATTATAGGACCATGGTAGGCTGTGTGTATGGCTGAATAAAAGTCGTTTTCCAGTATATCAAAGTAGGTTGTTCCATTTGCTAGTCTTTTCTCTGATACGATGTTGTTTATGGCATATCTATACCATTTTAACCATTCTACAACTTCCATTTGTTGTCCTGTTGTTTCATGGGATTCGTATGTGTACATTGATGAACCTTGACTTGAGGGTTTTTGGAGAATTGGTTTTTGAGATTGTAGATAGTTGTCGTAGTGAGCTCTCTTTTCAATATCTGATAGTATCTGCGTTTAATTAGTCGAAAGAATCAAGCTCCTTTTTCAGATTTGAATCCGATATTTTCAAGGTTATTTAGTTTTTTATGTTTGCTAGAATCAACATTCAATCATTCCCAGTTGAACTGATTACAAACGAGAAACAGGTAAGAAACAGCTATTAAGACATATTACAGTCGAAATATTTGCATACCTCATAAGCTGCGAGAATTTGAACGAATCGGTGGGAATTAGAAAATCCATCGGGCGATTGAGAAAGATCGGGATGAGTTTCCTTTGCCAATTTCCGAAAAGAGGCTTTAATTTCTGCGAAAGTGCAAGACTCAGGAACCCCTAGGAGGTCGTAAGCGTTCCTGCCGGACAATTCAGGTGGCTCCGCCGACTCAGCACTGGTGTTCAGTGCCCGATTACGAGTGAAATAATATAGAAAGCCGGTGATGTGATACGTATGCAGGGGAGATGAAAGAAATGAATGATAGCGGTTGTGATGGTGGTGGTGGTGGTGACGACGACATAGGCTAAGGAAAGTGGAGTAAGTGCCGTTTACCGCCATTCTAACGACTGTTTCTACCGGCTTGGGGCAGCGACTGGAAGGAGGTGAGGTTGCTCCCGGTAGTTTCAGTTTGGCCCCTGTATTTTGAAAACGTATTGAGGAACTGGAATGTAATACCCCTTAAGTTTATCAATTATTAACCGCTTTACCCTGAATATAAATTCTTGTTCATTAATGTTTGAATTTTATTTTATATTTCACATTTATCTAAGTCTCCCACCACCTACACACATTTAGCTAGGGGTGAACATGATACGGTTATTGATCAGAACCGAACCATTAATCGTAAATATATTTATTAAAATTTAGTAACAAAATGGTACGGTAATATAAGAGTGTGGTTATACAGTTATGGTCCAATTTCATATGGTTGTGTTTATAGTTTTTAACCACATGAGTTTGGTGCGGTTTTTAACCACTTGGATTTTTTTTTTATTTTTTTTATTTTTTTTTATTTTTTTACGTTTTAAGAATTCGAAAACTATTAGTTGTAACAATATAAAAATCAAAAAAATATAAGACAATAACTTAAAACATTAACAAACTAATAAACGAATAGTCACCTACTATCTTTTTCTTTTTAATAACTATATTATATATCAACAAACCAAAAAACTATTTTTGCAATTTTAAGAAATTGATTCAACTTTTAGTATCCCACCTAGACATCTGGTATATATTTCTTTTTATTATCTATACTGATTGTGTGACCCGTATACTTTACGGATTTATTAAAACAAAATGTTAAATACGAATGACTAAACGGGAAGTTTATTTGAATTTGAAATTTAAAATAAGTAAAAATTATGAAAAAGAAAATGCAAAAAAATGAATTAGAATTATATGTTTAGTTGTTAGATAAGTGTACTAAACATGTTGATTATAACAAAATGTTAAATAGGAAGAGAACATGTGGTAAAATTATTTTCATTTATTATAAATGATTATATATTATCAGCAACTAAATAACAAATGTTATATATAACTATTTAGATATTAAATTCGGTGCAATTTGGTTATTTGCGGTTATTGGAAAATTAAAAACGGCTCCGTCTCGAAATTTGTAGATTTTAGAAAATTAAAAACTGACTGTCGGTTTCCATCTAGATTTTGGTTTATCGATTTCAGTTTGTGCAGTTTTTTCGGATACTTTTATATGCAGTTCAATTTTTACTCACCCCTACATTTATCCATCACCTTACCGCTAAGTTGGAGGGTTTTTGATGTATCTATTGGTGACCTTATATATGATGTGCAAAAGACAATAGGTTTTTAGATATTACTATTGTTGTTTTTTTTAAACGGCGGGGTTAGTGGTTAGCTAGTATCACGACAACGTTAACGTTTGGAATAGAACTTGAGACCTCCAATATAAGAGGCAAATCCTCTACCAAGGGGCTAGTCCCACATTGCTGTTGTTGTTGTTGTTGTCTTCGTTGTCGTCGTCACCGTCGCCGTCATCGTTGTGGTGGTAGTCATGGTTGTGGTTGTTGTTGTGGTTGTTGTTGTTGTTGTTGTTGTTGTTGCTGTTGCTGTTGCTGTTGTTGTTGCTGCTGCTATAAATATAAAATTACATTTTTAAATATATTTCTTCTCCCTTGTGTTTTTCCTTTTGAAGAAAATACATTGATGTGACATGTCACATCAGCAAGAAGTTCAAGTCACCCGACACATAAGCTTAAGGTGAACTACTATGGAGAGGGTGAGCTGATAAATATGAAATATGAAAAAAAAAAAAAAAAGGTTTGTAAATTTTAATCATTAATGAACAAGAAAATAGACTTAGAGTAAATCTGTATAGATATGTAAGGCTTTAGGGTTTTATGTTAAAAGCGTTTTTTAGCGGAAAAAAAAAAACTTAGAATAATAATAAAGTATCCTAATTGTATAAAAAAAATCATTGATTTTTTGTGCACACATATTATCAACCACTTATAGCTTTTGTATATGTATAATCATTAAACTCTACCTTTTATTTAAAAAATACATTCATTACGAGTAATAATAGGTCACCACATGATTGCTGACGTGTAACGCCCCGATTTTCAGGTATTGAATTAATATAAGAATTTTCTTGATTTCAAGGGCTACTCGATGAGTTGGTTGCCCTACTCGTCGAGTAGCAGCGGGTTGGTCTACGTGTGTTAGTGAGTTACTCGCCGAGTCCAAGAAGGGACTCGACGAGTAGGAGCTGGCAGATGAAACCCTAAATTTCGGGGTATTGCACCCTATTTAAAGGATCATTGGCCTCCCCCAGCCTCCCCTTTACTGCTTCTTGTCCCTCTCAAACCCTAATCAAGTGTGTGTGCTCCATTTGTGTATTCTTAAGCTTGGAAGAGGATTTTTGGAGAAAAGAGCTTGGAGATCAAGTATCCAGAAGCAAGGAACTTGTGGGATCCGAAATTTATCTTATTTGGCATCTTCTGGAAGGTATCAAATCGCTATCCTGACCTCATTTCATTTCTAGATCCCTTTTGGGCAAATTTTAGGGCTTTTCTAGTATGTTTGGAAGCTTTTCTTGTGTATAAGCTAAGATCTGAAGTTGTAACTTCAGATCTGAACTCTCTTGGGCTTCTAAGTCCATAAAGCTTCCAGCTCTTGCAAGGATGAGACTCTCCTAAGGTGTAAAGCTCCATTAGAAGCTTAGATTGGTAATTTAGAGCCTCTAGGGCCTTGCATGCACGTAAAGTTTGCAACTTTACGTGATAAACATGCCTTAGAAGCTTGGATCTGTAATCTGGAACCTTGGCATGGCTTAAAAAGTGTCTGTATGGATGAAGGTCTGAAGGGACTCGGCGAGTTGCATAGTCAACTCGGCGAGCCACATGAAGATGGCCATGTACTCGACGAGTTGGATGAACAACTCGGCGAGTCCGATGAAGATTGCCTTGGGCTCGGCTAGTCAGTCGAATGACTCGGCGAGTCGGCTAGGGTTTTTCCCGAACCTTTGGACACGCATGAACTCGGCGAGTTATAGGGAACTCGACGAGTCAACCAAGGATTTCACGACTTCTCGAGTTCAGGAAGGACTCGACAAGTCGGTGAACTGCACTCGACGGGTCGGGTCAACATGGACTGTTGACTTTGACTGTGGACTTTGACCTTGGAAAAGGGTTGGCTTTTGGACTTCTGGGAGTATCTTGGGAATTTATGGACTTTGTGATGTGTCGGATATAGGTGGTGGAGTTTGTGGTGGTGATACGGGAGCTGAGCTTTCTAGTTTCAGACGACAGTTGCGAGGTGAGTTATCCTCACTATACTCAAGGGTCTAAGGCACCAAGGCCGTCCCTTTGGATTGTTATCTGGTTATGTGGTATGTGGTATGGCATGTTAGATCGGTATCCTAGAGGGTAGGATAATATTATGTGCTATGTGTCATGATTCGCCAGATCAGTAGTTGTCATAAAAGCCCTTAAATTTTCAAGAAATTGTGGGTTTTACCCTTTGGTGTCTTTTAGGTTCATTAAAGCCGACTATTTGATTTAATTTTTACATTTATGCCCTTTTAGAGGGTTTCCCGGTTAACTGCCGGTAACACACACAAGTAATCTAACTCATTGAAGTTGAAACCATTGAATCAAACACCAAGTTTTCTTCTTGATTCAAATCTACAAATTGGGAGAGTTTTGTTCTTATTCAGACATGCAAATATAGACTTAAAGGTAAATCACCATCTCTATTCTCCATAACTAAAGATGCACACAACAACCCATCACCACCTGTTCATCATGCTCTTCATCCCCTGTTCTGTTCATCATTTTTCACAAAAACATCACACCTGAAATCCACCACTTTTACCATCACTGAAATCCACCACCACCACCAACATATCTACATTGACATGGTCCACCACCACCTATCCTTTTTTCCCATATCTAAACTCAGCTCTTGTAAAATTTTCCTCCTCATTCACCCCATTCACCATGGTCATCTTGGAAATACAAAGGAACACAAAAATACACATATAAAACAAAAATCAGTAGTAAATCATACACTTGTGTGTTGTGTGTGAATTTTAATCACAAAACATATATTGGTGAAGCCCAAAATGGGTGTGTTACCCTTGAAATCGACGATGAAGAGGTTTGAATCAGACGATGAAGGTGATGAACAAGTGATGCTTGGACTTCAACGTGTGAATCGGGTGATGAATGTGATGAAGAGACGATTAACCCCTTTGCTCTGATTCATGTTTTACTTTTGATGCCACTTGAGGTTCTTTAGGACTCATTCAATTCAATGATGGAACCCGATCAGTTTGAGCATGACAGTGGCAGAGAAGCTCCTTATATCAATCTGCAGAATTGGAAGGGAAATATGATGGATGAGATCGATCCGTTGATGGAGGAAGAAAAGACCGATCAGCCACAAGCCCTAATCTTTAAAAATGTGGATGATGTTGATGGATTCAGGTAAACAGAAGAAAAGGATGTTGAGGTTTGTGCGTATAATGAATATGTGAGGACGTGCGTCGACGAGAGAGGGTGGAGCTACGCCGGTGGACCGGCTCTGGTTGTGGATAATATTGATGGCGACTCTAAGGAGGCGGTTTTAGAGGAGCTCCACCAATCTTTCCCTAGGGGAAATACGGGGGCGGGGGGTTAAGGTTCGATTCAGAAGGAAGAAGACGAATGGAAACCAACATGGTTAGATTCATTGCACCATAAGAGAAGAAGAAGAAGGGTGAAAAGAAGAATGATGTATGGGGATGAAGATGACGATGGGTGGAGAGTATAACCGGGTAACCGGTTGTTTCCCTGTTAAATGGAGAATTTGACACAATTAATCCAAATATCTGGCTTTAATGAACTTAAAAGACACCAAAGGGTAAAACCCACAATTTCTTGAAAATTCAAGGGCTTTTATGGCATTAGCCCTTATCTGTTATGTATGTGCACATGTTTGTTTGGCGGTTGAGGCTGATCTGCTTTGTGCGAAAGGCAATAGACCTAGGCATTCCAACCTGTTGGTTGTGGGCCGTGAGTATTCCATCCCGAGGATGATTGGACTCATAGTACGTGGGCATTCCAACCTGTTGGTTGTGGGCCTGGGGTATTCCATCCCGAGGATGATTGGACCCATAG